CAGTGCCAGCAGAGGCACCCAGTGCCAGCAGAGGCGTCCAGTGCCAACAAGGGTCCAGTGCCACCCAGTGCCAACAGAGGCACCCAGTGCCAGCAGAGGCGTCCAGTGCCAGCAGAGGCACCCAGTGCCAGCAGAGGCGTCCAGTGCCAGCAGAGGCACCCAGTGCCAGCAGAGGCGTCCAGTGCCAGCAGAGGCACCCAGTGCCAGCAGAGGCGTCCAGTGCCAGCAGAGGCACCCAGTGCCAGCAGAGGCACCCAGTGCCAGCAGAGGCACCCAGTGCCAGCAGAGGCGTCCAGTGCCAGCAGAGGCGTCCAGTGCCAGCAGAGGCACCCAGTGCCAGCAGAGGCGTCCAGTGCCAGCAGAGGCGTCCAGTGCCAGCAGAGGCACCCAGTGCCAGCAGAGGCACCCAGTGCCAGCAGAGGCACCCAGTGCCAGCAGAGGCGTCCAGTGCCAGCAGAGGCGACCAGTGCCAGCAGAGGCGTCCAGTGCCAACAGAGGCGTCCAGTGCCAGCAGAGGCACCCAGTGCCAGCAGAGGCGTCCAGTCCAGTGCCAGCAGAGGCACCCAGTGCCAGCAGAGGCGTCCAGTGCCAACAGAGGCGTCCAGTGCCAACAGAGGCACCCAGTGCCAGCAGGGGCGTCCAGTGCCAACAGAGGCGTCCAGTGCCAGCAGAGGCACCCAGTGCCAGCAGAGGCGTCCAGTGCCAGCAGAGGCGTCCAGTGCCAGCAGAGGCACCCAGTGCCAGCAGAGGCACCCAGTGCCAGCAGAGGCGTCCAGTGCCAGCAGAGGCGTCCAGTGCCAGCAGAGGCGTCCAGTGCCAGCAGAGGCACCCAGTGCCAGCAGAGGCACCCAGTGCCAGCAGAGGCGTCCAGTGCCAGCAGAGGCACCCAGTGCCAGCAGAGGCGTCCAGTGCCAGCAGAGGCGTCCAGTGCCAGCAGAGGCACCCAGTGCCAGCAGAGGCGTCCAGTGCCAGCAGAGGCACCCAGTGCCAGCAGAGGCGTCCAGTGCCAGCAGAGGCGTCCAGTGCCAGCAGAGGCACCCAGTGCCAGCAGAGGCACCCAGTGCCAGCAGAGGCACCCAGTGCCAGCAGAGGCACCCAGTGCCAGCAGAGGTGCCCCACTACCCATGGACAGTAGGAGCCGTGATGAGGACTCGAACCAGTGCTCTGAGTACTCGCAAGCACACTGAGAGAAGTACCTGTGGCATCAGGCTGTGAGCTGACTAATTGGTTCGGAGGAAAGGGGGGGGGGCCAGGAGGGTCGAGCGGTGCTGGGGAACAACAACAACAGTTCTGTTGATCATGGCAACCATTGACTCGCTCCAGTGGACCAGCCTAGTCCCGACCCTGCTGGCTCCGTGTCGCAGTGGGCGCCGCTGCCGGCTCACAACTCTCACGAGTCCCGCGCCAGGACAGAGACGTTTGGGCATTGCTTCCTTTCACCTAATACATCTGTTCACCTAGCAGTAAATAGGTACCACGGGTGTAAACTACAACACGGGGGTACTTTCTGGTGGTCCATCACTACATATTGGTACTTTCTGGCGGTCCATCACTACATATTGGTACTTTCTGAAGGTCCATCACTACATATTCGTACTTTCTTAAGGTCCATCACTACATATTGGTACTTTCTGGTGGTCCATCACTACATATTGGTACTTTCTGGTGGTCCATCACTACATATTGGTACTTTCTGGCGGTCCATCACTACATATTGGTACTTTCTGAAGGTCCATCACTACATATTCGTACTCTCTGGTGGTCCATCACTACATATTGGTACTTTCTGATGGTCCATCACCACATATTGGTACTTTCTGGTGGTCCATCACCACATATTGGTACTTTCTAGTGGTCCATTACTACATATTGGTACTTTCTGGTGGTCCATCACCACATATTGGTACTTTCTGGTGGTCCATCACTACATATTGGTACTTTCTGGTGGTCCATCACTACATATTGGTACTTTCTGAAGGTCCATCACTACATATTGGTACTTTCTGGTGGTCCATCACTACATATTGGTACTTTCTGGTGGTCCATCACCACATATTGGTACTTTCTGAAGGTCCATCACTACATATTGGTACTTTCTGGTGGTCCATCACTACATATTGGTACTTTCTGGTGGTCCATCACTACATATTGGTACTTTCTGGTGGTCCATCACTACATATTGGTACTTTCTGAAGGTCCATCACTACATATTGGTACTTTCTGGTGGTCCATCACTACATATTGGTACTTTCTGGTGGTCCATCACCACATATTGGTACTTTCTGAAGGTCCATCACTACATATTGGTACTTTCTGGTGGTCCATCACTACATATTGGTACTTTCTGGTGGTCCATCACTACATATTGGTACTTTCTGGTGGTCCATCACCACATATTGGTACTTTCTGGCGGTCCATCACTACATATTGGTACTTTCTGGTGGTCCATCACTACATATTGGTACTTTCTGGTGGTCCATCACCACATATTGGTACTTTCTGAAGGTCCATTACTACATATTGGTACTTTCTGGTGGTCCATCACTACATATTGGTACTTTCTGGTGGTCCATCACTACATATTGGTACTTTCTGGTGGTCCATCACTACATATTGGTACTTTCTGGAGGTCCATCACTACATATTGGTACTTTCTGGTGGTCCATCACTACATATTGGTACTTTCTGGTGGTCCATCACTACATATTGGTACTTTCTGGTGGTCCATCACTACATATTGGTACTTTCTGGTGGTCCATCACTACATATTGGTACTTTCTGGTGGTCCATCACTACATATTGGTACTTTCTAGTGGTCCATCACTACATATTGGTACTTTCTGATGGTCCACCACTACATATTGGTACTTTCTAGTGGTCCATCACTACATATTGGTACTTTCTGCTGGTCCATCACCACATATTGGTACTTTCTGCTGGGCCATCACTACATATTGGTACTTTCAAGTGGTCCATCACTACATATTGGTACTTTCTGCTGGTCCATCACCACATATTGGTACTTTCTGCTGGGCCATCACTACATATTGGTACTTTCTAGTGGTCCACCCCTATATATTGGTACTTTCTGCTGGTCCATCACTACATATTGGTACTTTCTGGTGGTCCACCCCTACATATTGGTACTTTCTGGTGGTCCATCACTACATATTGGTACTTTCTGGTGGTCCATCACTACATATTGGTACTTTCTGGCGGTTCATCACTACATATTGGTACTTTCTGCTGGTCCATCACTACATATTGGTACTTTCTGTTGGTCCATCACTACATATTGGTATTTTCTGATGGTCCATCACCACATATTGGTACTTTCTGGTGGTCCATCACTACATATTGGTACTTTCTGGCGGTCCATCACTACATATTGGTACTTTCTGGAGGTCCATCACTACATATTGGTACTTTCTGGAGGTCCGTCACTAAATATTGGTACTTTCTGGAGGGCCATCACTACATATTGGTATTTTCTGATGGTCCATCACTACATATTGGTATTTTCTGATGGTCCATCACCACATATTGGTATTTTCTGATGGTCCATCACCACATATTGGTACTTTCTAGTGGTCCATTACTACATATTGGTACTTTCTGGTGGTCCATCACCACATATTGGTACTTTCTAGTGGTCCATTACTACATATTGGTACTTTCTGGTGGTCCATCACCACATATTGGTACTTTCTGGAGGTCCATCACTACATATTGGTACTTTCTGATGGTCCATCACTACATATTGGTACTTTCTGGAGGTCCATCACTACATATTGGTACTTTCTGGAGGTCCATCACTACATATTGGTACTTTCTGGTGGTCCATCACTACATATTGGTACTTTCTGGTGGTCCATCACTACATATTGGTACTTTCTGGAGGTCCATCACTACATATTGGTACTTTCTAGTGATCCATCACTACATATTGGTACTTTCTGGAGGTCCATCACTACATATTGGTACTTTCTGGTGGTCCACCACTACATATTGGTACTTTCTAGTGGTCCATCACTACATATTGGTACTTTCTGGTGGTCCACCACTACATATTGGTACTTTCTAGTGGTCCATCACTACATATTGGTACTTTCTGCTGGTCCATCACCACATATTGGTACTTTCTGCTGGGCCATCACTACATATTGGTACTTTCAAGTGGTCCATCACTACATATTGGTACTTTCTGCTGGTCCATCACCACATATTGGTACTTTCTGCTGGGCCATCACTACATATTGGTACTTTCACCCCTATATATTGGTACTTTCTGCTGGTCCATCACTACATATTGGTACTTTCTGGTGGTCCACCCCTACATATTGGTACTTTCTGGTGGTCCATTACTACATATTGGTACTTTCTGGTGGTCCATCACTACATATTGGTACTTTCTGGTGGTCCATCACTACATATTGGTACTTTCTGGTGGTCCATCACTACATATTGGTACTTTCTGGCGGTCCATCACTACATATTGGTACTTTCTGCTGGTCCATCACTACATATTGGTACTTTCTGGTGGTCCATCACTACATATTGGTACTTTCTGCCAGAGGTACTATAAGTACTGCCGTTCTAGGAGGCTGGGCTCAATATATTACAACTATTGACAGATATAATGGTAATAATATGTTAAATTAATGGATTTGATCATATTCCGGACGGTAAATGGCAGGAATTGACAAGCCGCCGGCTTCCTGTGCTGGTCGGGGCCACTAGAGTCAGGGGCTGGGAGGTAAACTCGGGTAAGGAGTGTGTACTCAGCGGGTATACCCGTGCAGAATATAACCATAGTGATAGAATAACAAGCGGGGAACATACCACCTTATTCCTGGCGATAATTTTCATCAAGAAACTCTATGTTATCCTTATATACGATATGTTGTTTGGGGGTAATGTGTTTAATGTTAAGATATTATTATTGGTATAGCTTTGTGTGTATATATATGGAGGTTTAGGGAGGGAAGAAGCGAACTTACATATTGGCGTAGTGTGTAGAGGGTGTGTGGGAGAGTGTTGTGAGCGTGAGCGGCAGTCCTCCCCTTACGACCTCTAGCGCGGCACTGATGGTCTGGTGCAACTTAAGGTATCTTATCCCTCGCACTCTACTCCTGCGCATGCGCACCCTTATACTCACTCTCACTCACTTTCTCATTCACTAACCTGTCCTCCCAATAGAACGTCGCATTCTGACGTATGCTCTACTTAAGGCTAAAAATTGTTGTACTAGAGAATGGTACGACAATTTAAACACGTACACTAAAGAGGTACCTGGGAGTTAGACAGCTGCTCCGGGCTGCTTCCTCTGTGTGTGTGTGTGTGTGTGTGTGTGTGTGTGTGTACTCACCTAGTTGTGCTTGCGGGGGTTGAGCTCTGGCTCTTTGGTCCCACCTCTCAACTGTCAATCAACAGGTGTACAGGTTCCTGAGCCTATTGGGCTCTATCATATCTACACTTGAAACTGTGTATGGAGTCAGCCTCCACCACATCACTTCCTAATGCATTCCATTTGTCAACCACTCTGACACTAAAAAAGTTCTTCCTAATATCTCTGTGGCTCATTTGGGCACTCAGTTTCCACCTGTGTCCCCTAGTGCGTGTGCCCCTTGTGTTAAACAGCCTGTCTTTATCAACCCTGTCAATTCCCTTGAGGATCTTGAATGTGGTGATCATGTCCCCCCTAACTCTTCTGTCTTCCAACGAAGTGAGGTTTAATTCCCGTAGTCTCTCCTCGTAGCTCATACCTCTCAGCTCGGGTACTAGTCTGGTGGCAAACCTTTGAACCTTTTCCATTTTAGTCTTATGCTTGACTAGATATGGACTCCATGTGTGTGTGTGTGTGTGTGTGTGTGTGTGTGTGTGTGTGTGTGTGTGTGTGTGTGTACTCACCTAGTTGTACTCACCTAGTTGTGCTTGCGGGGGTTGAGCTCTGGCTCGTTGGTCCCGCCACTTGACTATCAAACTGTGTGTGTGTGTGTGTGTGTGTGTGTGTGTGTGTGTGTGTGTGTGTGTGTGTGTGTGTGTGTGTAATTACATAAGTGTAGTTACAGGATGAGAGCTACGCTCGTGGTGTCCCGTCTTCCCAGCACTCTTTGTCATATAACGCTTTGAAACTACTGACGGTCTTGGCCTCCACCACCTTCTCACCTAACTTGTTCCAACCGTCTATCACTCTGTTTACAAAAGAGAATTTTCTTATATTTCTCCGGCACCTTTGTTTCATTAGTTTAAATCTATGACCTCTTGTTCTTGAAGTTCCAGGTCTCAGGAATTCTTCCCTATCAATTTTATCGATTCCTGGTACTGGTCTCGAACCCATTGTTGATGTGACGACTTATAGTGAATTTTGTAACTAGCCCATCAAGATTGTAACTTGCTTAGCTAAATGAATTATGGGGTTCAGTCCCTGAGCCCATTATGTGCCTCTGTAACCCTTTCCACTACCGCCCACAAGATGGGTATGGGGTGCATAATAAATGAACTAAACTAACTCCTGTTACTATTTTGTAGTGATCATATCGCCTCTTTTTCTTCTGTCTTCTAGTTTTGGCATGTTTAATGCTTCTAACCTCTCCTCGTAGCTCTTGCCCTTCAGTTCTGGGAGCCACTTAGTAGCGTGTCTTTGCACCTTTTCCAGTTTGTTGATGTGCTTCTTAAGATATGGGCACCACACAACAGCTGCATATTCTAGCTTTAGCCTAACAAAAGTCATGAACAATTTCTTTAGCATTTCTCCATCCATGTATTTAAAAGCAATTCTGAAGTTAGACAGTGTAGCATAGGCTCCTCGCACAATGTTCTTAAGGCAGCCCGGCCTCCAAAAATGGGGTGGTAAATGTAAGAAGACAAATAAGTGCAATTATGTACTATTCATAGCAGTTGGGAATTGTACTTATTTTCACTTAGTATTAAATCGTACTGTCAAATATATTGTGAATATTTGAGTTTACCAGCTTTTGAGGTCAGGATTGGCATTACAGTTCAGCGTCTTATATATGTATAATACACATGAGAGAATGTGCAGTGACTTAATGTCTAACATATTCAGAGATTTGAGTAGGGGTACCGAGTGATGTCTGGGGCCAGAGTTGGATATTGCCCTTATAGCAGCTTTGTGTTGAGTAATTAGAGGACGTAAATGATTTTGGGTAGTAGAGCCCCAAGCACAAATACCATAGTTGAGATATGGATAGATAAGGGAGTAATAGAGAGTCACCAGGGCAGGGCGGGGTACATAATATTTGATCTTAGAAAGAATGCCCACAGTTTTTGAAACATTTTTTGATATGTTTAGAATGTGTCCCTTGAAATTCAGCTTGTGGTCAATGAGAATGCCAAGGAATTTGCCATCTAATTTGTTACAAATTTGGGTATTGTTTATTTTGAGATTTATTTGATTAGAGGATTTATTGCCAAACAGAATATAGAAAGTTTTGTCAATGTTAAGGGTGAGTTTGTTGGCAGTTAGCCAAAGATGGACTTTATTAAGCTCAGTATTTACTGTGGCATTTAGAGCAAGGGGGTCAAGGACTGGAGTAAATGAAGGTTGTGTCGTCAGCAAATAGAATTGGTTTGAGGTGTTGGGAGGCATTTGGAAGGTCATTAATGTAGTTGAGAAAGAGGAGAGGGCCAAGTATGCTGAGGAACATAGTATGCTGAGGAACATTGGTGTTCCTGAGGAACACCAATGTTGATTGGTAGGGTGGGAGAAATTGAATTATTCACAGAAACATACTGGAGCCTGTCAGTAAGGTAAGATTTGAGGTATTGCAGGGAGTGTCCTCTGACTCCATAATGATGTAATTTAAGAAGAAGGTTTTGGTGGTTGACAGTGTTAAAAGCTTTACGCAGGTCCACAAATAACCCAACAGGGAACTCATTTTTATCAAGAGCTGTATGAATCAAGTTAAGCATACTAATAAGTGCATCGTTAGTGTTTTTTTTGGGTCTGAAGCCATATTGGCAAGGGCTAAGTATATTGAGTTTGGCTAGATATGAGTAAAGCTGCTTGTAGATTAGTTTTTCATAATTTTTTGACAAGTTTGGCAGGATTGATATAGGTCTGTAGTTGTTAACATCTGTTAGATCACCACATTTGTGGACAGGCGTTACTCTCGTTTTTTTTAGAATATCTGGAAAGGTTTGGAGTTCAAGTGACTTGTTGAAGAGCAAAGCAATAGCAGGGGCTAAAGATCTGGAGGCTTTTTTGTAAATTAAAGTTGGTATCTCCTCAAGGGCACCAGACTTGGTTTTAAGGGAAAGGATTATCTCGTTGACGTCAGTGGAATTAGTAGGCTTTAGGTACAGAGACTGTGGATAGTTACCTGTAAGATAGTCCTTAACATCAGTACTGGAAGATGGATTATCATTTGCAAGGGATGAACCAATGGAAGAGAAGAACCTATTGAACTCAATAGCAGAATCAGAGGCTGAAAGCTGACCATCGTTATTGGACAGGAGAGTCGGTTTGTTATTTAAAATCTTCTTTGATCCCAAAATTGTGCTCCAAGTTTTTTTAATGTTGCTTTTTATTTTGGTAAATTTATCTTCGTAGTATTTATTTTTGGCTCGTCTAATTATCTTAGATAGCAATATTGAGTAATTCTTTGAGAATTCTTTGGAGACAATTCCTAATCTATACTTCTTCTCAAGGTCGTGTTTTTTATTAATGGATTTAAGTATTCCTTTTGTAAGCCAGGGATTGTTAAGCCTTTTTGTTGTGACTTGTTTTGTAAGCATAGGACAGTGGGTATTATAAAGGCTAAGAGTTGCTTGAAGAAAAGATTGCACTGCAAGGTTGATGTCCTCTATGTTACCTAACTCGGACTCCCAGTTGACATTATCAGCAGCAGTTATAAAATTGTTTATAGCAGTTTCATTGTGCAGCCTAAAGCTTAACTCCCTTGTATCTAGAGGTGGTTTGTTAATGTTAGTTAAGAGAAATGTGGGGTAATGGTCTGTAGTGCTATCGATGATTATACCTGAAGTAAGCGGAGAGGTTATGTTGGTCCAGATGTGATCTAGAGTCGTGGCAGTACTATCAGTGATTCTATTTGGTCTAGTGATTAAGGGTATGAGGAAGCAGGAATTCATACAGTTGAGGAAGCTAACAGCAGTAGGGTGTTCAGGCTCGCAGAGGTCAATATTAAAGTCCCCTGCGATAATTAGATGGTTTTTGTTCAGTCTGTTATCGAGTATTAGATTTCTAAGGTTTGAGTTGAATTCAGACACATCAGTGTTAGGAATTCTATAGACTGCACCCACAGACAGGACAGACTCGGCACCCTTGACTCTGAAGCTGGCGAAGATATACTCCCCACAGCAGTCTCTAGTTCTAATTACTTTTAAGCATGTTAGTTCATGGTGGTAGTAAAGAGCAGTACCACCACCTCTCTGAATTTAACGACAGTTGTGAATTGCCGAGTAGTTAGGCATGTTAAAGAGTTGAGTAGTATCCTCTTTCAACCATGTTTCAGTAAGTATAATAAAAGAGAATTTGTAGTCAATAGTTTCAATCAAGGCACTAACATCATCGAAGTGTTTACCTAGGGATCTAACGTTCAAGTTGATTACAGAGACATATACATATAACAATGTGCTTTAATATACTTACTAAGCTCTCTCATCTCATTTTTCTCTTGCAATGTATTTGTTATCATTTATCAATTCTGATAGAAATTACCTACTTAAAATTATCTGTTAGATTAAGGACCTGCCCGAAACGCTGCGCGTACTAGTGGCTTTACAAGATTGTAAATACTGTACTATCCAATGTATTCTCACAAACCCAATGTACCTTCTTGTATATAAATAAATAAATAAATAAATAAATAAATAAATAAATAAATAAATAAATAAATAAATAAATAAATAAATAAATGACTGTAGAGCTGCTGCCCAGTTGGGTGGGTGTGGAGCAAGACTAGTAACTGTGTGACTCACCATAGATGTAACGTGCCTTCTATAGTGACTGTTGTGAGCCTCTTGTTGATCACTTGTGACACAAAAGATTATTGATGAGTGTATTTGGGTGGGTGATTAAATATGTATATGTATATATATATATATATATATATATATATATATATATATATATATATATATATATATATATATATATATATATATATATATATATATATATATATATATATGTACATGTATGCATGAGTATGTGTACATGTATATATAACATTAATAATTTTGTAACTAGCGTCAAAAGATTGTTATTTGCTTAGCTAAACGAACTAGAGGGTTTAGTTCCTGAACCAATTATGTGCCTCTGTAATCCTTTACACCACCGCCCACGGGATGGGTATGGGGTGCATAATAAAGAAAGTTTTTTTAGTTTAGTTCATTTATTATGCACCCCATACCCATCTTGTGGGCGGTAGTGGAAAGGGTTACAGAGGCACATAATGGGCTCAGGGACTGAACCCCACAATTCATTTAGCTAAGCAAGTTACAATCTTGATGAGCTAGTTACAAAATTCAATATAAGTCGTCACATCAACAATGGGTTCGAGATCGACCTCAAGTACAGGTTCTAAATTAAGCAACTGACATATGTGGAGAGCTAGTGTCAAAATTTATGTTTGTCCTGCACACCGCCCCCCCCCCATCCAGTGGGCAGCGGTGGATAGGTTACAATCACTTAGTTACTACCTACAGTTAGCAAACTGGGGATATTTGGCTAAAATTTCTGGTAGCAGATCATTTTGAATGAAATATTTACACATCGCTGGAACATTGGTTATAGAATTGTCTCTAAATTCACGTATCTTTTCGCACTCCATCACATAGTGACGGAGGGTGTGCGAATAATTTTGTTGACACAGTTTACATTTGGTCAGGTCTACATCAGCAGATAATGAGAATTCCCAGAGATACTTGTAACCGAGTCTAAGCCGAGCAGTAGTAACATCTAGAAGTCTGCTGATTTTATTGGATGATCCATAGATGTGTGGCTCCTCTTACATGATAGTATGATGATAGATGGAATATACTGGTGTCAATCTCACTTTGCCTCAGATCTACAAGATCTTGTTGAAGTTCTCGGTGTACTGCTGCTCTCAGATTGCTCATTGACAATCCAAGATTACACTCAACGGCTCCTTTAAAGGCAGATTCTTTGGCTAACTTATCAGCTCTATCATGCATTCGGAGGCCAACATGAGATGGAGACCACATGAAATGGACTCTGTTACCATCCTTAATAATTTTGTTGTATTTGTGCCTAGCTTCGGACACGAGCATGTTACAGTTATGTCTTAAAGAGTTGAGAGCATTTAAGGATGATAAGGAGTCACTTACAATTAATGTATCAAGTTTGGAGACTTGTACACATTTCGGTGCAATTGAATTGGGTAGCACCAGATACAGTGCGAATTTCAATGAAAATGATAGCAAATTTGTTAAATATGAACGGCTATTTGTAAAACCATGTTATGAATCATTTATTAATTTATGTTTTTCAAGATGAAGACGAATTGTATTTGCAATTTATCGATTCAAATAACTTTCCCAACCTACTTCAAATTATTTGTTAGAATCAGGACCTGTCTAAAACGCTATGCGCGTTAGTGGTTTTACAAGAATGTAAAAACATTAATGGTATGTACTCTCGTAAACCCAATGTACTTTCTTGCATATATATAAATAAATAAATAAATAAAGTAAGTCCGTTCTCTTTCCATTCCCTGTTTACACTCAGGCGAGAGGAAGTGTCAACATTGAGAGTTTAGTATTCATCAAATATATAATATATGACCAATATTTTTTTTATAATTTTTATTATTCTTAATATTGAAATTAAAATTAATATTTAGTTTGAGATGTATTTGTAATGTTAATTAAAAATACAACACACACTTGTTATGGTCCGTAAACAATAGTTGCTAGTTTGTTACCAGTCAATTTTGGCGCGGGCGGAGTGGGAAGCTTTATTTGAACTGTTGGGTAAGATTACCTGCCTTACTGCCCCATGTCTTTAGTGCCTGCTGGCACGCGAGTCCTCAGGTGTAGCTTAATGTTGCTGAGTTATTACTTGACGAACTCATTCATGAATAAGTCAAAGGTGAATCGTTGACAGCGGAGGTCCATAGTCGTCTCTCCCCAGGAGCTGTGCAAGTTCCTGCCTGAGGCTGTACTCGCTCCCAAGGTTGTCCTCGAGCGTCTTGGGTGTACGAGGACGAGTGGAGGCTACGGTGAAGGTGTCCATGTCGGTGTGTAGGGAGGGAGTGTAGGCGAAGGGGGTGTAGGGAAGGACGTGTAGGTGGGGGGTGTAGGGAAGGATGTGTAAGTAAGGAGAGAGTAGAGTTGGCATCACTGCTGCTGTCACCTCTCCCACACCCACTGCCGCCACCTGCTGCCAGGTGCACCACATTTTCTGCACTTATAAAATATATTTGAAGATGTAACCAAACTTACCAACTCATAACAATATAACCTGGATATATTGCTTTAGTACAGACTACTTCGTACCGAAGTCATTAGCCAATGAATTTTAAAACTGCCTCATCTAGCCTAACTAGATCTAATTTAATTTTGCCTTGGAGAACTAGTTTATCGACGCATGTAAGACGACATTCAACACACACACGCAGGGCGACATTCAACACACACACGCAGGGCGACATTCAACACACACACGCAGGGCGACATTCGACACACACACGCAGGGCGACATTCAACACACACACGCAGGGCGACATTCGACACACACACGCGGGGCGACATTCGACACACACGCGTGGGGCGGCATTCGACACACATGTGGGGCAACATTCGACACACACGTGGGGCAACATTCGACACACACACGCAGGAAGACATTCGACACACACGCGGGGAGACATTCGACACACATGCGGGGAGACATTCGACACACACACGGGGAGACATTCGACACACACACGGGGGATGACATTCGACACACGTTGGGGTGACATTCGACACACGTGGGGCAACATTCGATACGCACGTGAGGCAACATTTGACACACGTGCGGCGGCATTCGACACGCACGCATGTGCGGCGGCATTCGACACGCACGTGCGGCGGCATTCGACACGCACGCACGTGGGGCGGCATTCGACCCGCACGCACGTGGGGCAGCATTCGACCCGCACACCTTTATGTTCTGTGGTGTCCCACAGAACATAAAGGTATAGTGCTCTTGAAAAATAGGTGAGATAACAGGAAAGTGCTAAGGGAAGTGAAAAATCAGATGAGAAAAAGTTGCCCTAGTGTTTACAGTGCAGAGAAGAACATTCAAGATGGCCACTGGCAAGGGGAAAAACAAAACAGAGCTTGATTTTGAGGGATTCAATGAAGAAAGCATTGATATTAGTAGTCTACATAACAAGTTGGTAAATTTAGATACTATAGTGAACTCTCATGTAGAAATAATTAGTAAATTGAAAGAAAGTAATGACCATTTGAATAGCAAAGTTTTATGTCTTGAGGGTTTAGTGAAAGACTTGCGCAAGGATAAGAATCAATTGGAAACAAATTGCAAAGCCATGGAAGAAGAAAATAAACTCTTAAAAATAGCTTTGGAAGAAGTTAAAGTAAATTTAAACATAAATGACTACAATAGGTTAGGCAAGGAAATTCAACAGGAGAAACAGCTTTTGTCAGCACAGATGGAGGAAGTTACACAGGGAATAGAACAGTGCAAGAAAGATATGCAACTCACTTATGCACAAGTGGCCAAGGAGAAGGAAAAAATAGAAGAAGCAGTAAAGGAAGTCAAACACTGCAGCAACCAAGATAAAACAAACATTAGGCTAGAAGTGAGGAAAGAATTGGCATCTAACCCGAAGTTGGTGCAAAACACAGTTGATCGGAGTAAGTCCCTGATCATTTTTGGCTGCAAAGAAAAGGCGATAACATCTAGGTCAGAAAGAGCTGTAGAAGAAGCTAAAGTAGTAGATAAAATTGTTGGCCTCGTGGAAGGTCTTACAAACAGAGAGAATGTGTGCGACTACAGGAGAATAGGCAGGTACGTAAAAGGGAAAGATCGACCTTTGAGGATCACCCTAAACGGTGCCAAACAGATGGAAGAAGTACTAAGGAATGCTAGAAAATTGCAAAGGGATGAGGATGGGAAAGGGTGGTCGTTAAGACGAGATCTTTCAAAAGAAGACAGAGAGAAGCTGAAACTGAACCTCGCCGAGGCAAAACATTTAAATGAGAGCAGGAATGAAGAAGAAATAAATTCTTTTTTCTACAAAGTGATAGGGGTAGGCAAACCAGTAAAGTGGTACATAAAGGCAAACCAACAAAATCAATAGAGAGAGGGGGAGTGAAGAATAAGGAGAGGGGGAACAAGTTCCTGAAGATTGCATACACCAACATAGATGGAGTGAGATCGAAGATACTGGAGTTAAGTGATGTAATACAGCTGCAGACACCAGACATTGTTGCACTCACGGAGACAAAACTTGAAGATGTAATTTTAAATGAGGTCATATTCCCAAGGGGCTACTCAATTTGGAGACGGGACAGAAAAATTAGGAAAGGCGGTGGCGTTGCTGTGCTGGTAAAAGAACACCTAAAGGTGAAGGAAATAATGACTGCCAATCCACAAGAAGTTGACATAATAGCACTAGAGATCTGCTATGAGGATGATAAACTAATGATGATAAATGCATATAGTCCACCGCCAAGCAGCACATGGCCAAAGGAGGAGCTAGATAGTAAACGTGAAGGTCTTATAACAATAATGAGAGAGATTATAGCGAGAGCGGATAACGATAGATCACGACTGTTGATAGTCGGTGACTTCAACTTGAAATCCATAGACTGGGAAGCATATGAAGCTAAAACAGAAGATTTTTGGACCTGTAAATTTGTAGACCTCATCCTGGAAACATTCTTGTATCAACATGTTAAACAAGCTACGAGGATGAGGGAAGGGGACGTTCCCTCCATGCTAGATTTGATATTTACCAGGAAGGAGGAAGAGATATTTGACATTCAGTACCTTCCTCCCTTGGGTAAACCAGACTTCAGGAGAGGACATTATGGTGACCTTAGAAATTTTTTTAGTGAGTATAATTGGACAGACTTGATGCTAGGCAAGGAAGTGAATGAGATGTATGGCAAGTTTTGTGAAATATATGATAAAGGCACAAAAAAATTTATACCAAAACAGAGATGCAGGACCAGAAAACAGGATTGGTTCGACAGAAATTGTGAGAGGGCAAGAGACCAAAAGACACAAAAATGGAATCAGTATAGGAAGAGGCCAAACCCCCAAACATACCAGCGATACAAAGATGCGAGAAACAATTATACAGCAGTAAGGAGAGAGGCAGAAAGAAATTTTGAAAAAGGGATAGCAGATAAATGTAAAACAGAACCGGGCCTATTCTACAAATTCATAAACAACAAATTGCAGGTAAAGGATAATATCCAGAGGTTGGAAATGGGAAACAGATTCACGGAAAATGAAAAGGAAATGTGTGAAACATTAAATGAAAAGTTCCAAAGTGTGTTTGTACAAAATGAAATCTTCAGAGAACCAGACACAATAAGAATTCCAGAGAACAACATAGAGCGGATAGAGGTGTCTAGAGATGAAGTGGAAAATATGCTAAAGGAGCTCGGGAGGAACAAAGCAGCTGGCCCAGATGGCGTTTCACCATGGGTTCTGAGAGAATGTGCATCTGAGCTCAGCATTCCACTTCACCTGATTTTTCAGGCATCCCTGTGTACAGGAATCGTAGCAGACGTGTGGAAACAGGCTAACATAGTTCCAATCTACAAAAGTGGCAGCAGGGAAGACCCCCTCAATTATAGACCTGTATCATTGACAAGTGTAATAGTGAAAGTATTGGAAAAGCTAATCAAAACTAAATGGGTAGAACACCTGGAGAGAAATGATATAATATCAGACAGACAGTATGGTTTTCGATCAGGAAGATCCTGTGTATCGAATTTACTCAGTTTCTATGATCGGGCCACAGAGATTTTACAGGAAAGAGATGGCTGGGTTGACTGCATCTATCTGGACCTAAAAAAGGCTTTCGACAGAGTTCCACATAAGAGGTTGTTCTGGAAACTGGAAAATATTGGAGGGGTGACAGGTAAGCTTCTATCATGGATGAAAAATTTTCTGACTGATAGAAAAATGAGGGCAGTAATCAGAGGCAATGTATCGGAATGGAGAAATGTCACAAGTGGAGTACCACAGGGTTCAGTTCTTGCACCAGTGATGTTTATTGTGTACATAAATGATCTACCAGTTGGTATACAGAATTATATGAACATGTTTGCTGATGATGCTAAGATAATAGGAAGGATAAGAAATTTAGATGATTGTCATGCCCTTCAAGAAGACCTGGACAAAATAAGTATATGGAGCACCACTTGGCAAATGGAATTTAATGTTAATAAATGTCATGTTATGGAATGTGGAATAGGAGAACATAGACCCCACACAACCTATATATTATGTGAGAAATCTTTAAAGAATTCTGATAAAGAAAGAGATCTAGGAGTGGTTCTAGATAGAAAACTATCACCTGAGGACCACATTAAGAATATTGTGCAAGGAGCCTATGCAATGCTTTCTAACTTCAGAATTGCATTTAAATACATGGATGGCGATATACTAAAGAAATTGTTCATGACTTTTGTTAGGCCAAAGCTAGAATATGCAGCTGTTGTGTGGTGCCCATATCTTAAGAAGCACATCAACAAACTGGAAAAGGTGCAAAGACATGCTACTAAGTGGCTCCCAGAACTGAAGGGCAAGAGCTACAAGGAGAGGTTAGAAGCATTAAATATGCCAAAACTAGAAGACAGAAGAAAAAGAGGTGATATGATCACTACGTACAAAATAGTAACAGGAATTGATAAAATCGACAGGGAAGACTTCCTGAGACCTGGAACTTCAAGAACAAGAGGCCATAGATTTAAACTAGCTAAACACAGATGCCGAAGAAATATAAGAAAATTCACCTTCGCAAATAGAGTGGTAGACGGTTGGAACAAGTTAAGTGAGAAGGTGGTGGAGGCCAAGACCGTCAGTAGTTTCAAAGCGTTATATGACAAAGAGTGCTGGGAAGACGGGACACCACGAGCGTAGCTCTCATCCTGTAACTACACTTAGGTAATTACACTTAGGTAATTACACAGGGGGGCCTCGTAGGGGCCTCGTAGCCTGGTGGATAGCGCGCAGGACTCGTAATTCTGTGGCGCGGGTTAGATTCCCGCACGAGGCAGAAACAAATGGGTAAAGTTTCTTTCACCCTAAGTGCCCCTGTTACCTAGCAGTAAATAGGTACCTGGGAGTTAGTCAGCTGTCACGGGCTGCTTCCTGGGGTGTGTGTGTGTGGTGTGGGAAAAAGAAAAAAAAAGTAGTTAGTAAACAGTTGATTGACAGTTGAGAGGCGGGCCGAAAGAGCAAAGCTCAACCCCCGCAAAACACAACTAGGTGAAGTCAGGTGCATCTCCATCCGTATACTGATGCCTATGGTAGGAACCATTGATGCTGTGCAAAATTTCAGGACTTATGGGCCAGGAAGATATTTGTGATAACAAGAAATCTATTACAATTAGTTTATTCTACTGTACCTGTACTTGAAGATTAATTTTCAAAATTTGATGTTTTCAACATTTCTTCTTCACTACATTCAAACTAAATTGATTACATTTTTTTTACAGACATTGGCAATATATGTTTAAGAAGTAGAAAGGAAGATTTTTTTTTTGTATGTGCACCTGGAAATTGAACGAGAACGGGTGCACAGTTTAAGGGCTATGGTCACTTGTGATGGAAATACCTGGAATATCAAGGTTCGGGTTGATAATTAACATGTTTGGCCTTTTTTCCTGTACTTTGTGAGAGACCAAAATTGTATTAAATAAATGTCTTTGCAGGTTAAGCAGCGACGTGATACTGCATCAGGATGTATGTCAAATCTATGGTTATTGATGGGTTTAAAAGCTATGGTCAACGAACTGAAATCAACGGCTTTGATCCACTTTTCAATGCCATCACGGGTCTAAATGGTTCAGGAAAGAGTAACATTTTAGATGCAATATGCTTTTTGCTGGGCATCACAAACCTTAGTCAGGTAAGAGGTTCATGATCATTTTTTCAGTCTGAATAAATGAATTAAGCTTTGTAATTTATGATTTGCATGTTCTAGCATTCGCACCTTCTTGGTTTTATGCTTAGTACCATTAACCTTGTTCTTGAATAATTATGTACTAGCCGAGTTACCGCAGCTACAATGGCATATCAATTTGGGAGTCCGGCGGAGGGAGTGTAGCAAGGGAGTGTTATGTCCACTGTGTACCCTGTGCCCGTCAGCCGGCGCCCCCCCCCCTCTTAGAGATACAGTACAATGTTAAGCAGAGGTCCCCGGAGGTGGGTGTGTTAATTCAAAACTTAAAGAAATTGCATATGTGATTCACATTGCAGAAGGGCTTTATCACCCTCAGGAAAGCTGACCAGGATGGGGGTAAAGCTGATCAATCAGTGGGATTACAACCTAAACATCACAGAGTAACCTGCATGTGAGGCAAAGACAGAAGCTAGACGGGCTGTTTAAATTTTATGTTTGATGATGGGAGCATTTCATGCAACAACTTGCAAGGTGTCCTTGAGAATGAATGGAGAAATTGGGATGCTTTCATTGCTACCTTTACTATCTTTTGTGATATTTCAATTACATGCAATTATATTTATCATTTTCTTTGGAATAATTTTATTTTTTATTTTATTTTATTTTATTTATATATATACAAGAAGGTACAATGGGTTTGTGAGAATACATTGGATAGTACAGTAATTACATTCTTGTAAAGTCACTAGTACGCGCAGCGTTTCGGGCAGGTCCTTAATCTAGCAGATAATTTTAAGTAGGTAATTTCAATCAGAATTGATAAATGAAAGATACATTACAAGAGAAAAATGAGATGAGAGAGATAAGTAAGTATATTAAAGCACATTGTTATATTAAAGCTCTGATTGATTACATTGACAGCTTGATTAGTAATTTAAACAAGATTAATAGACACCATACAGCAGATTGACAGCACATATAAGACAGCAATGATCACAATGGTAAAGATGTTCAGATTGGGTACATAAAGATTGGGAGACTGGGTAGCAAAAGATACAGATAAACAAGATTTATAAACACCATACAACAGATTGGCAGCACATATAAGAAAACAGCAATGATCTCAATGGTAAAGATGTTCAAATTGGGAACAAAAAGGTTGGGAGATTGGGTAGCAATAGATACAGTGCAATTTTAAGGCAAAAAGTGAAAAACTATGAAGATGAAATTTGGTACTTTTTAGTATTGATTTTGAATGATGTAAAAGTTGGACAGCTTTTCAATTCAATAGGGAGTGAGTTCCATAAATTGGGTCCCTATATTTGCATAGTGTTTACACAAATTAAGTTTAACTCTGGGGATATCAAAGAGATTTATTTCTGGTGTGGTGATAATGGGTCCTATTACATCTGTCCAGGGAGAGTTTCAGAGCAGGATTTGCATTTAAGAACAGGGTTTTGTAAATGTAGTTGACACAAGAGAATTTATGGAGTGAGATTATGTTTAGCATGTTTAGGGAGTTAAACAAGGGGGCTGTGTGTTGTCTGAAAGCAGAATTTGATATTATTCTGATAGCAGATTTTTGCTGGGTGATGATGGACTTGAGGTGGTTTGCAGTGGTTGAACCCCATGCACAGATACCATAGTTGAGATAGGGATAGATTAGTGCATAATATAGAGAGATGAGAGCAGAGTTAGGAACATAATATCTGATTTTGGAGAGTATACCAACTGTTTTAGAGACTTTCTTAGTTATGTGTTGTATGTGGATACTGAAGTTGAGTCTCTTGTCTAGGAATATGCCAAGAAACTTTCCATCATTTTTATTGCTAATGTTTACATTGTCAATCTGAAGCTGAATTGCATTTGTAGATTTGCTTCCAAATAGGATGTAGTAGGTCTTTTCTATGTTAAGTGTTAGTTTGTTGGTTGACATCCATAAGTGGACTTTTTTTTTAGTTCATTATTAACAACATCATTTAGTGTATGTGGGTTGGGGTTGGAGTAAATGAGGGTAGTATCATCAGCAAACAAAATAGGTTTCAGAATGTTGGAGACATTAGGCAGATCATTAATGTATATAAGAAATAGTAGGGGTCCCAAGATGCTGCCCTGAGGCAGCAGTAATAGTTCTAATCATTAGCTGTACAATTTCGTTTAAAGTCATTTGGTAACACAGCATTCAAAACACGGTTTGACTGGAAAGAAATACTGTATTCAGAAAGAGTTGATTAACTGTGTAGTTGACTCTTGTCATGTGTAAAGTGCTCTTCATACACAAATGAATGATGAAAATCTATTCATTATACAGTTTAAAACATAGAAATTTATTTGCCCATTTGCTTGTATTCCAGGTACGAGCTACCAACTTGCAAGAACTTGTTTATAAAAATGGCCAAGCAGGTGTAACGAAGGCCACAGTGACCATTACCTTTGATAATACAGATAAGAAGCAGAGCCCCATAGGTTACGATCACTACAATGAAGTGACCATCACTCGACAGGTAAATGATAACCATAATTTTGATCTTGATATGTGTGATAGTTGCTCCTTGCTTTACCTCAGTTCATGCACTGTCTTCAATCATGTAGTTGAATAAGAGCACCAAGCAGGCTCTAAGGAAGGTAGATTTATTAATATAAAGTTGTCAAACACACTCCTTAATTGTCAATTTATTATGTATGTTGTCTGATCGGTGAAAGATAGCACAAGTTTTCCTTGTTAATGTATTTATTTAATAATATTCAGTAAAATGGTCTTGTAATAATTTTCTATGGAACTACTATTATATGATAAAGGTCTTTCCTGAGGTTAGACCAGTTGGTTGCTCCCTAGGCAGTGTCGTGCTGTCTGAGATGCAGCTGTCAGGTCAGTGTGACCTGGTTCTGGACTCAGCAGCGGCAGTGTCTTGCTGTCTGTGATGCAGCTGCCAGGTCAGTGTGACCTGGTCCTAAACACACTAGCGGCCGTGTTGTGCTGTCTGTGATGCAGCACAGCAGCTGCCAGGTCAGTGTGACCCGGTCCTGGACATACCAGCGACAGTGTCGTGCTGTCTGTGATGCAGCACAGCAGCAGCCAGATCAGTGTGACCTGGTCCTAAACACACTAGCGACAGTGTCGTGCTGTCTGTGATGCAGCAGAGCAGCAGCCAGGTCAGTGTGACCCGGTCATGGACACACCAGCGACAGTGTCGTGCTGTCTGTGATGCAGCTGCCAGATCAGTGTGACCTGGTCCTAAACACACTAGCGACAGTGTCGTGCTGTCTGTGATGCAGCTGCCAGATCAGTGTGACCTGGTCCTAAACACACTAGCGACAGTGTCGTGCTGTCTGTGATGCAGCACAGCAGCAGCCAGGTCAGTGTGACCCGGTCATGGACACACCAGCGACAGTGTCGTGCTGTCTGTGATGCAGCACAGCAGCAGCCAGGTCAGTGTGACCCGGTCATGGACACACCAGCGGCAGTGTCGTGCTGTCTGTGATGCAGCACAGCAGCAGCCAGGTCAGTGTGACCTCATCCTAGACATACCAGCAGCTTTTTCAAGCTGCCGCGTCTGGGCCATCAGTGAGGAGGTAGACACGGGAGATCTCTCAATCCAGCACAGGATGATCTCCAGAAAACTCAGTCATCTACACTTAAAACCCTCCTCAAAGCAATACTCTGGTTTAAGTTGGCCTCCTTAAGTATTATTCTGCTAATTGCTAGTGTACTATGGCTGCTTTCTCAGCCCATCACCTGATGATAGCACCGGTGTAGTAAACATAGGTGCTCAAGGACTCCACTCCTCACTTTATTCCTGCTCTGACATCCTGCTTCCACTTTAAGATGTGGCCTATCTCTCGGGTATGGTTTTGTTCAGTTGAACAGGGCCCTGGCAGCTAGATATCTATTTGGTGAATGTTCCTAGTCCTCATTGACCTTGTGTGGCCTTGGGTCATGTGTCATGGGCCACGGTTTCTTCGTTGTGATACCTGCAGTGCTCCTTTCTCTCTGATACAACTTTCTTTTCCTTCTCCGTGGGAAGGTAACTTTAAGGAACCACAAGCGGCTTTCCCCAGAAAACTGGCATCGAATGTATTGAAACGCCAATTTCTGGGTGGGCCCCAGTGGCTCCTTGACACCCTCCCTCCCTCCCAAGGAAGTCTGGGGTTGTTTATCCATCATCATAGAACTGAGGGTGAAGTAGCCGACTGATCCAGTCTTCTTTTCTCCTCTCCCGGTCGGCCGAGCGGACAGCACGTAGGACTTGTGATCCTGTGGTCCTGGGTTCGATCCCAGGCGCCGGCGAGAAACATTGGGCAGAGTTTCTTTCACCCTATGCCCCTGTTACCTAGCAGTAAAATAGGTACCTGGGTGTTAATCAGCTGTCACGGGCTGCTTCCTGGGGGTGGAGGCCTGGTCGAAGACCGGGCCGCGGGGAAACTAAAAAGCCCCGAAATCATCTCAAGATAACCTCAAGATAACCTCCCTAAACGAGCAGGAGGTGGGGCAAATGAGCTTGCACTAATTCCATGAAATTTTTATAATTTGTTTACATTGTTGGTGGAGTTGGTGGAGCATCGATATTTCCTTATAGCCAGCTGTGGTCTGTTTGTTTCACTGACTTTGTGGGTGCTTCCCCAGTGGTGGCAGACATGATTAAAATTCACTGACAAGTCTATCATAGTGCCACCGCTCTGTACTTCTTTAGAGGGTTCCAGGTTCTGGCTCGTGGTCCCCCGGTTGGCCTAAAAGAACGCCACGATTAATGGCATCTAGTAGTTTCACACTATATCAGCATTGTAGTTTCATGGTTTTTAATATTTATCTGTAGGGATTGTTGCCTGTGGAACTGATTGCATTATTTTTATTGACAGAATCTTCATGCACATCAATATTGATTTGTATGCTAAATACATATAAATATGTATATGAAATATACATATTATTATTCGGCTTTGAAATGGCTCAATATGATATTAAGCTATCTCAAAGGTGACCTACATTGTTGATTAGTTTTGGGGATGTTATGTTAATGTTTTTTGCTCCTAGTGAGTTACAGTGACAGACCCGATCCTGAAAGGTGAAACACTCGAACCCTAGCATCCTTGGGTGTCCCAACTTTGTTAGTACCCTGGCGTGCTTTACTCGCACCATTATGACAGATGAATCACTTTGTAGCCAATTTGAGTAACTGAACAAAAATGTGTGTATACAGTATTCCATTATCTTGTGATTCTCTGCGTTAGTTTTTCATTGTGTTGAACACTTCCGAAGAGGATATATTTGTGTCACTAATATGCGCACAATATTAAATTCTTTGAACAATAAAACATAGCTTTTGCTATTATTGCACTACAGTATCTACACGTTATATATGTCTCCATTTGTATGCACCATAATGACCTGCTAGGCAGTTCTGGTGGATGTGGACTGAACTCCAATCACAAGATAGTGATGTAGGTTATCAGCAGATGATGTAACCTAACTCGGCAAAATGCATCCAATATTGTGCATCCAATTTTGCTTATGTTCATTGTGAGGAACTTGTTACCTTTGTCAATGTGCAGGTTTTTCCAGGTAAACATTCTCGTTTATGTTTGTTCTTAAAAATGTTGTTAGAAACATAAGTACAGTATTTCTTGTGAAGCTTGGCATTGTAAGGATATTTCCATCTCTTACATTGTTGAGCATCAGGAGCAGTTTTGAACTACTATTCAAATATCCAAAATAAAAAGTTCCAGCACTAATATTACTGAGAATAATACAAATTATTAGAGATGCTAGAGAGCCCAACATAGTAAAGGTGTGCCGTTTTTTTTGGCAAATACGACCAATACCGATATATAAATAACGTACTAGAAGTGTCCCTATCTTGAGATGATTTCGGGGCTTAGCGTCTCCGCAACCCGGTCCTCGACCAGGCCTCCTTTTTATACACCCCCCAGGAAGCAGCCCATAGCAGTTGTCTAACTCCCCAGGTACCTATTTACTGCTAGGTGAACAGGTGCATCAGAGTGAAAGAAACAATGCCCATTTGTTTCTGCCTCTACCGGGGATCGAACCTGGAACTTCAGGACTACGAACCCTGAGCGCTGTCCACTCGGCCGTCATCCACATAGTTGTGGAAATCATACAAGTGTCATTTTAATTTGTATTTATTTTGAAGGTTTATGTATGTTGTATAGGACAGTTTACTAGTCATTCATCGTATCATTTTATTATGCAAATTTGCCCCCATTCTTCAGGTTGTGATCGGTGGACGCAATAAGTACATGATAAACGGCACTACGGTCCAGAATAGTAGAGTTCAAGATTTCTTCCGCTCGGTTCAGCTTAATGTGAACAACCCTCACTTTCTCATCATGCAGGGACGCATCACCAAGGTCCTCAACATGAAACCTCCTGAAGTATGTGCTTTAAAGTTTTGATTTTATTTATTTATATTGCTAAGCACCATTTCGTGGGCAACATTTTTAACAATTCTGATACCGATGCCAATTCCGCTTAAAGGTCTCGATTCAGATATGATTATCAATTCCAATTCTAATTCTTTTAAAACTATACACAGTAGTTGAATACTGTGCTTGTTTTCTGAACATTTTTATATTTTAGTTTGGGAAAATGAATGCTCTACATTATGTGTTTGGTAAATGTACTGTATTAATAATCTACAAAGCACAAGAAAATAGGAAGCTCCTGTGAACACTCCATTACCCATCACAGAGCCGGCAACACAATAGCACTAGCCAGGTAGTTACTTGCAGGATTGCTAGGTCCTCAAATTCAACTTGAGGGTATAATACAGTACTTGATTCTTAATTATTATAATTTAAACAATTATAATTATTACCAGAAACAAAAAAATTATTTAGATATCAAATGTTAAAGAATCATTTTAAGAATTGGAAATCATGATAAATTTCCCTAGATTCTGATTCTGATGAATCATCCCATCACTAATATATATACATACTGTATTTCACCATCTATATACAGTACTAGTAATTAAAAGTGAGTCTGAAGTTGGGAAGCAACACATACGCTCCTCGCAAAATGTTCTTTGTTTTCCTCTGGTGACAGTTTACTATCCAAAACAACCCTCATATCTCATTCTTTAATAGAGTTCTTTCATTCCTTTCCACATAATTTATAAGTTGTGTGTGGTCTATTTTCTCCAATTCCATAACATAACATTTATTCACATTGAATTCCATTTGCCACTTTTTGCTCCAAGCACTTATTTTATCTAGATAAATTTGAAGAGCATTACACTCGTTTGTGTCTCCTATCTTCCCCAGTATCTTAGTATCATCCACAAACATGTTCATTTAAGCATGCGATGAATCACAGTAACGTGGCTGAAGTATGTTGACCAATCCACACACTAGAAAATGAAGGGACGACGACGTTTCTGTCCGTCCTGGACCATTCTCAAGTTGATTGAGAATCGCTTGAGAATGATCCAGGACGGACCAAAACGTCATCGTCCCTTCATTTTCTAGTGTGTGGATTGGTCAATGTGTTCATTTAATTCTGTATTCCTTCTGGTAGATCATTTATGTAGACAATGAACATAACTAGTGCTAGCACTGAACCCTGTGATACTCCGCTAGTAACACTCTTCCAGTCAGATACATTGTCTCTGATTTCCTCTCTCATCTGTCTGTCAGTAAGAAAATTTTTCATCTTTGTACCGCCCTCATCTGTCTGTCAGTTAGAAAATTTTTCATCCGTGTCAGAAGTCTCTCTGTCAATCCACCAGCATGTTCCAGTTTCCAAAACGACCTCTTGAGTGGGACTGTCAAAAGCCTTTTCTGGGTGCAGATAGACATAGTTAACCCAACCACCTCTTTCCTGTAGTATTCCTGTGGCTCTATCATGAAAACTAAGAAGGTTTGTTACACAGGATCTTCCTGTTTGAAAACCATATTATCTGTATTATTATGTCATTCCTCTCCAAATGTTTTACCCATTTGGCTTTAACTATTTTTCTAGTGTTTTGACTACCGTGTTAATGACACGGGTCTATAATTTAGAGGGTATTCTCGGTTACCATTTTTGTAGATAAGGACTGTTTGCCTTTTTCCAAATATCTGCTAAGATTTCTGTGGACAAAGATGTCTGGAATATCAATTGGAGTTGAATGCTCAGCTCACTTGCTCATTCTCTCGGCACCCAAGGTGAAACGTCATCAGGTTCAGGTTCAACTGCTTTATTTCTTCCTAGCCCCTTGAGTAATTTTCCACTTGGTCTCGAGACACCTTTATGTACTCTATGGTGTTTTCTGGAATTGGCATTGGGTCCGGCTCTTTGAAGTCCTCAATTTTCACAAGCTCACTTTGGAGGTGTTCATTTAGTGTTTCACACATTACTTTTTCATTCTCAATGAACCTGTTTCCCATTCTCAATATCTGGATTTTATCCTTTACATGCAGCTTGCTTATAATGAATTTATAGAAAAGGCCTGGATCTGTGTTACATCTGTCCGCTAACCCTTTCTCAAAGTTCCTTTCTGGCTCTCTCCTCACTGCTGTGTATTTGTTTCTTGCTTGCTTGTAGTGCTGGCATATTAGAGCGTTAGTCCTCTTCCTATATTTTGTCCCATTTCCTTGTCTTTTCCTCTCTGGCCCTCTCACAATTTCTAGATCCTATTTTCTGGTTCTGCATCTCTTATTTTGGTATATATTTTTTTGTACAGAATTTGGCATACATCTCATTTATTTCCTTGCCAGCAAGGAAATAAAAATTAAATTCATTAAATTTTCCAATTAAATTCATTAAATAATTTGCTAAGTTACTTATAGTGTTCTCTCTTAAAATAAAGTTTGTCAACTACAGTACTGTATTTCAATTTTGCCATTCTCTTCTAGATTATATCAAGAAGCATATCTAATTTCCAACAAAACATGGTCACTCTTTCCCAAGGGAGGGAAGTACTGAATGTCAAATATCTGCTCTTTCCGAGTAAATACCAAATCCAGCAGTGATGGAACATCACTTTATCTCATTCATGTGGGCTGTATTACATGTTGATACATGAAAGATTCCATGATGAGGTTTAAGAATCGGCCAGTCCAAAAATCCTGTTCTTGCTTCATTATCTTCCCAGTCTATCAATTTTAAATTGAAGTCACAAAGTATCAACAATCTTGATTTATCTTTATTTGCTTTTTACAATAATTTCTCTTATGATCCCCTCTCTTGTCATCGAGCTCCTCCATAGTCCATGTATTGCTAGCTGGTGGACTGTATGCAGTAATGATTATTAGTTTATTGTTCTGACTGCAAATCTCCAGTGCCATTATGTCTACTTCTGTAGGGTTGTCAAGTATCCATTATCTTTAGTCAATCCTTCACCAGGATTGCAACACTCCCACCGTTTCTAATTTGTCTGTCATCTCTCCAAATAGCAGAGCTCCTCACTCTGCAAGTGCGATAATATCTGGCCTCTTTAGCTGTAAAATATAATTTAACTCCAGTATTTATTTTTACTTTACAGTGTTGGTATACATGTATGCATGTATATACTGAGCAGTCAAACACTTATTGTGGTTGAGTGCTCAGTAACTAATTATGCAGTATGATGTCTAACAGATCTCTAACCCTGTCCATGGAGGACAGAAGAACATGTATATATGTTGGTTACCATTGTAAATGTACAACCACATCTGTGCTAGATAATAAACCAAATAATAATAATATTACTGAGTATTCAGGTACGGAAGTTCTGTGCAAGTATTGCATTTTTGTTATATTTCCAGTACCACTCGAGGCAGTAGAATAGTAAAAACTTTGAAAGAAATATGAAATGTGGGAATGTATTGTTTTGGGCTAGTTTACCAAGACACATTGATGGAACAAATGCACGTTCCTGGTTTGTCAATAGGTCGTGCATTAGCCAATTGTTACTGGCATGCCGATAGTTCCAACTCGCCATGATGCATTCAAGCAAGGTCACACCATACATACAACTGCTGTACATGTGTTTAATACGTAGTGATTTTATAATGCTCATTGCTTTAGGTGGACTAGGAGGAGAGTTGCTGTATCTGCTCTTGAATGTTGAGTTTTGAAACTCGATGATGGTTTTCAGATTCTTGCAATGATTGAAGAAGCTGCAGGCACCCGGATGTACGAGTCTAAGAAGCAGCAAGCACAGAAGACTATAGAGAAGAAGGATGCAAAGCTGAAGGAGATTAATGATGTATGTTAATGTATTGATTAATGGTTGGGGGTTTGAGTGGCTATATTGTTCCTCATGCATGTCTGGTGTTTTAGTTAGGGGAAATGTAATGGGCATTTAGTTATTTCAAATTTATTTTCAGTTGCTTTATTTGCATGATTTCATATATCACTTAGCCTAACTGTTTTCAATTGATTGAAGGCAGAAAAATATGTCCTGTACTTAGATCCTGGAGGAGGAGATCACGCCCACACTGAGTAAGTTGAAGGAGGAGCGCACAATGTACCTGGAGTTCCAGAAGGTGCAGCGGGAACTGGAACATCTGACTAAACTTTACATTGCCTACAAGTTTGTATCGGCACAGGTATGTCTTGTACACATCTCTAATATTTGTATCATAATGATGATGTATAGCAACTTGCCAGGGAAGTGAGGAATCAACTTGAAGGAAATTACATTACCTTGTACTAACTCAGAAGAGTAAACCAGGTTGAGCAAGAGTCTGGCCCATCCTCCTCAAATGAGAGTAATGTACTTCTTACAGCAACTATTGGGTCACATGTGCCAATATGTACTGTTGGAACCCCCAAAGGTTCATTTTGTTTGTTATTGAATTAGCCCATATGGCATTCATTAAATTGAAAATGTAACTAAAAGAGCCTAACCCAACCCAAACCTATCCAAGCAATCCTAGGCAACCCAGTAAACATAAGACCCGCTTTATTAACTCTCCAGCTATATGCAAAGTTATAATAATACTCTGGATGTTTTCCCCAACATAGTGGAGAATTGGCACAAGTTTTCTGAGCTTCTGTGTGGAACCAAGTCTTGTGTCTGATCCCTGGTATGCCAAACAAAACTCTCACATCTGATGTGACCCATTTGCATGGAGCATTCTCATTGAAATAACTTCAGGGAAAGAAGGAAATGCAGAATAAAACCAGTGAGGAGTAGAGGTGCCATAGGCACAATCAGAGAGCACTGTCTTAACGTGAGGTGTCCACGGCTGTTCAAAACTCTACCAGCAAACATTAGAAATATTAGAAATATAAAAGAATGAATGTGGATTTATTCAAGAGGCACTTGGACAGGTTCTTGCAAGAAGTGCCGGACCAAGCAGGCTGTAGTGGATATGTGGGCCTGCGGGCCGCTCCAAGTAACAGCCTGTTGGACCAAGTTACAGTATTACAAGTCAAGGCTGGCCCCAGGCCAGGCTGGAGGAGTAGAAAAACTCCTGAAACCCTCTCCAGGTATGCTCGAAGGCTCGTCAAGGAGGAGGCATTTCATTACATTCAACATTGCGTTTTGTCAATGTGATATAAACAGTGTTCACTGATATGGCTGTTTTTGCCCAAGATCAGCTGCTACATAATTTTGAAGGAACTTGCAACTGGCACAGGCTTAAACTAAGCAATTCAACTTGAGTCTGAATGTGACACTTTCAAAATTTTTCAGGAAGGCAGTGAGAAAGCTCGAGTGGAGCATGAGGGAGTCAAACAGCAGATTGATGAAATGCAGCAACGGATTAGTAACGGTACAAGAGAGGTAAAAGAGTTGGACAATCAAATAATACAGCTGCAGCAGATTCGTGATACCGTAAGTGCTGTAGCATGTTGTTCTAATATTCGTGATACCGTAAGTACTGTGGCATGTTGTTCTAATATTCGTGATACCGTAAGTACTGTAGCATGTTGTTCTAATATTCGTGATACAGTAAGTACTGTGGCATGTTGTTCTAATATTCGTGATACAGTAAGTACTGTAGCATGTTGTTCTAATATTCGTGATACCGTAAGTACTGTGGCATGTTGTTCTAATATTCGTGATACCGTAAGTACTGTAGCATGTTGTTCTAATATTCGTGATACAGTAAGTACTGTGGCATGTTGTTCTAATATTCGTGATACAGTAAGTACTGTAGCATGTTGTTCTAATATTCGTGATACCGTAAGTACTGTTGCATGTTGTTCTAATATTCGTGATACAGTAAGTACTGTTGCATGTTGTTCTAATATTCGTGATACCGTAAGTACTGTAGCATGTTGTTCTAATATTCGTGATACAGTAAGTACTGTTGCATGTTGTTCTAATATTCGTGATACTGTAAGTACTGTAGCATGTTGTTCTAATATTCGTGATACCGTAAGTACTGTTGCATGTTGTTCTAATATTCGTGATACAGTAAGTACTGTTGCATGTTGTTCTAATATTCGTGATACTGTAAGTACTGTAGCATGTTGTTCTAATATTCGTGATACAGTAAGTACTGTTGCATGTTGTTCTAATATTCGTGATACCGTAAGTACTGTGGCATGTTGTTCTAATATTCGTGATACAGTAAGTACTGTTGCATGTTGTTCTAATATTCGTGATACCGTAAGTACTGTAGCATGTTGTTCTAATATTCGTGATACAGTAAGTACTGTAGCATGTTGTTCTAATATTCGTGATACCGTAAGTACTGTAGCATGTTGTTCTAATATTCGTGATACCGTAAGTACTGTTGCATGTTGTTCTAATATTCGTGATACTGTAAGTACTGTAGCATGTTGTTCTAATATTCGTGATACAGTAAGTACTGTAGCATGTTGTTCTAATATTCGTGATACAGTAAGTACTGTAGCATGTTGTTCTAATATTCGTGATACAGTAAGTACTGTGGCATGTTGTTCTAATATTCGTGATACAGTAAGTACTGTAGCATGTTGTTCTAATATAAATTCCCAGAAATTTATTTTGTAATAAATAAATTTTATTTATATCACATGCTCTGTCTTCTGTTATGTTCCATATCAGAGTGAATCTTTTTTGTTTTAGTTATTTGGATGCAAAAGTGCTGAAGAAATCATTATTCTGGTGGTATTGGGAGGGGGGGGGGAGTGAGGTATGTTTTGTGTGTGGGACAACATGACTCAAGGTGGGGGGGGGGAGTGAGGTATGTTTTGTGTGTGGGACAACATGACTCAAGGGGGGGGGGGGAGTGAGGTATGTTTTGTGTGTGGGACAACATGACTCAAGGTGGGGGGGGGGGAGTGAGGTATGTTTTGTGTGTGGGACAACATGACTCAAGGTGGGGGGGGGGAGTGAGGTATGTTTTGTGTGTGGGACAACATGACTCAAGGTGGGGGGGGGAGTGAGGTATGTTTTGTGTGTGGGACAACATGACTCAAGGGGGGGGGGGGAGTGAGGTATGTTTTGTGTGTGGGACAACATGACTCAAGGGGGGGGGGGGGAGTGAGGTATGTTCTGTGTGTGGGACAACATGACTCAAGGGGGGGGGGGAGTGAGGTGTGTTCTGTGTGTGGGACAACATGACTCAAGGTGAAGCTTGAAAAGTCAATTAATGATAATGGAGAAAAAAGACAAGTTATGTTAAATTATATGAATAAAAAAAGTGATCAAATTAGTTGCTTGTTAATACTGTATCTGGGATATTTAAAGTTGCTTGTTAATACTGTATCTGGGATATTTAAAGTTGCTTGTTAATACTGTATCTGGGATATTTAAAGTTGCTTGTTAATACTGTATCTGGGATATTTAAAGTTGCTTGTTAATACTGTATCTGGGATATTTAAAGTTGCTTGTTAATACTGTATCTGGGATATTTAAAGTTGCTTCTTAATACTGTATCTGGGATATTTAAAGTTGCTTGTTAATACTGTATCTGGGATATTTAAAGTTGCTTGTTTTAACACTTTCGCTCGGGGATGACGCAGCATTGCGTCATCCGTTTACTGGCGGTAATGCCGGGGATGACGCAGCATTGCGTCATCCACTTTAAAAATTCGCCAAAAATCAGGTTTTTATCTGATTTTTTGGGGACTGGTTTTAAAATGTGCGCCGATGTCTTCCCATTTTCTTTGTTGAGCCTCGTGGCCCTCAGGCGGCTTGGCACACCCCGTGGGCCCATTGTCTTTGCTCCACTGTTGTGACCAATGTCGCCTCCCCTCGCATCTCAAACGTGTGAACATTTCGGCTATTTCCCGTGGCTATATTTCTTACTGCGGCTTTAGAAACTATCTACGCTTACTCCACGATGGATAGTAATCATGAACAAGGCCCTTCCAGGAAGAAAATTGCGAAAGAAAGGCTTGAAAAGGGTGGGAATTTGGAGTGTAGCAAGAAGGCCTCTGAGCACTCACTCACGGCTAACGCGTGGCCCGTCTTCAACTCGTCGGCGGTTGGAGCGTGACCAGGTTTTTTTTTTATATGCTAATGTTCCTCTAGAGAATTTTATTACGAACCCATTGAGACCAAAATGAAAGACCTAGGACAAAAATTGAGGTGACCAGAGTGAAAATAGTGAAAACATTTTATCCCGTTTGCGCGCTCCCGGGTAACTCGTTCGCACTTTCTCTGTTTGCTGCGGGTAATTAGCCGGGCTTTTGGAGTTTATATGCATTTAGTGCTGTAGAGAATTTTATTGCGAACACAATGATACCAAATTTTATCTCGTAGAGGGAGAATTGAGGTGACAAAGTTGAAGAGAGTATACACTTTTCGGAATTAACGCGCGCTTCCATGACACGCTGGGGCCCATATCGCCCTGTCGAGGGGTGGCGCGCGGGGTGAGCGAAAGTGTTAATATGTAAAAAAAACCAGCGTTGAATGTAATGAAACGCCATTTTCTGGGTGAGACCCGGAGGCTCCCCGGAGCTTTACCAGCCTGATATGCTAATGTCAAACTTTGGCATCAGTCATGTGTATGGAGTTCTAGGGCCTACCGGAGACCACGGCCAGAACCTGGCCCCCTCAGAGAGGCAAGGAGAGCAATGGCCTATAGAAACCCCCGTGTGGTTGGAAGCATTCTATGTCTGCCATCAACTGGGTCAAGCATCCAGAAAGGTAAGCATTCCAAAACAAACCCCTATTCTGGTTAAAATTGCTACCAAAAGCCAAACTAGTGGATAGAACTCCCCAACAGAAAACAAGCAAACTAGTACAACGTCACACGTCACCGCGCCGCTGTCTGCGCAGATCCCCCCTCCCCAGGAGGGGGAAGGGGGAGCCCCAGACCTCCCATGCCGGCTATCCACCCATCAGTTCTGAGGCTGGATGTCAAAACACGCAAAAAAACGCCGACCGGAGGGAGGGAGGGAGGGTTGCCGGGGAGCCTCCGGGTCTCGCCCAGAAAATGGCGTTTCATTACATTCAACGCTGGTTTTCTGGGGGAAGCTCCGTCAGCTCCCCGGAGCTAACTACCCAGAGGAAGGTCAAAGGGACGGAACCGGGAGGCGGACACCACGCACCCCCCCTCGGAAGTGAGACAACTGGCAGCAAATGCCAACCCAAGGCATCACAGCCCCGAAAGGGCCTGGGAACAACACGAGACAATGAGTAGCAAGGCCCCAGTACGAACACCAAAGATCCGTGCCCGAATGACAGCAAGGACACGCCGCCCAGACAGCAGCAAGAGCAGTGAAGCCACAAACGCCATGTGCATGGGGGAAGAACACAGGCAGGTTAGCCGCAAGAACATGACTGACAACCCGGGACACCGTCACCCGCGAACAGGGAAGAACAGAAACCGGATCAACTCAAAACGCGCCCCGGACACATGTCAAGGCACGCAAATAACAGCAGAGAGGGCCACTATTGAACACCAAACACGACACACCCCCCGTCCCGACCAACCAAGCACCCCTCTGGAACGCAGCAGCCCCATCCCATGCCAGAAAAGATGGAGACTGCTGCCACCAAACCACCAAAACGCTAAAACTGAAGGAGCAGAAAAACCCCAGCGGAGGAGCAAGAAGCCCAGAAACCCGACCTCCAGAGGCAAATGCCAACAGGAAAAAAGTGCCGACGAAAAACAAACCGGAACCGAAGGGGCACCACCAACCGAAGAGAAGACGGAGCACGCTGACCAGAGACCAGGACGGTGTAAGCGGCGCACGAACAGGCCGAAGGTGAAACAACACATGAGACAGCTTACTAATGGCGCAGAAGCAACACGAAGACCGAAAGCAAGCCGAAGCGATTCCGCCAGCGCCGCATGAAAAGAGGTGACAGTACGTAGCAAGACGACGGCCCCCAATCCCCACCAGAAAAACCAAGCCGACGCGAACAACTGCAGCCACCTAAGAAGGGACAGGAGGAAAAGAAAGGACCGCCAAATTACCCCATACTGCCGCCAAGAAGAAGTACGCAGGTGGGACACCTACCACGAAGCCACCCGACCACCAACCGGAGGTGAGACCGCGAGGCAGAATGGAAGCAGCCCAGGAAAAGGCGGAGCCGCAGGAAGATCTCGAGCGCGACCACCGAAACCCTGGCAGCACAAGGAAATGGAATGTCGGCCGAACAGAAAGCTCCCCAATGCAAGTAAGCCCACCAGGAGATCAGAAACGACGGGTCTGACACGAGACATTGCAAGACCCCAAAAAGCCAACTAGCAGGGCAAGCCAGGAAAACCGAAAAAGGCGTAAGGGTTGCCTCCAGAAACAGTACCCAAACCAAGGGGTACGAGCAACTGAAACAAACCAAGACAAATAAGCGCACCATATGATACAGGCTGAAAGAACGCCCAAGAAGCCAAGGAACGCACGCAGAACACCCCTGCGGCAGAGGAGGAAACAAAGGGAACGCACAAGGAA